ACACATGATTGAAGATCTATGCTGCTAGTAAGACAAAAGCTCCTATATTACCTGGCACATGCCTGCTGAATTATTGAAGTGTCTCTTCAAACTGAATATATTCACTGGATAATTAGTCAACAGAAGAAAACGGTCTCTCTTTACAAAGCTAATGTTGACAGGTATTGTATATCTTTTATGCACTGTAACAAAAAGTATTTGCAGAACTGATGCAACACAAACATTTGGAATTGCCCTGTCAATGCGCAAGTGTTCTCGAGGCACATGGCCCCCTTTGTGATATTGCCTCAGCCTCGTATTACCTTACAAGCAAGTCCTAAACAGCGTAAATTCCTTTCACCTAATGCAGCACTATCCCCATTTCAGAAGCAGGTAAATGGTACAAATAAATAGAGGCTTGCTTTGCACTTGAGGAACGAGTCTGATCAAACTGAAAACCGGTCTCTGTGAGCCTGACCCCAGCCCTGTGCTGTGCTAGCCTTTGCTGCTGTGTCAAGCAGGACCTACCCGGGGCAGTGCAGGCAGGTCTCTGCCACTTTTAGTTCGTAACACTAGCAGTCATGATGTCCCAGTGTGCCACTCCAGCGGCTGTATTCTCATGAGCTTGTTTCCTGCTGCAGATATTTGGGAACAGAGGCTACTCCATGTGTACACAGAGCACATCACACAATGAAAGTACTAGCATCTGTCTGCTGAAACCATCACAGACAGCCAGCTGATGCTGCTTCATTTATTCTGACCTGGCAAGGGAAGAACAGTAGCAGTTTCCACACTTAAAATGGCTGTTCAATAGCTGAGAGCAGTAGGATGGTCTCTGTACTGCCTGTATATAAACCCAAGCTTACCTAGAAATAAGAATAGATGGCTTTTGGATGTTTGAACATGAGCTGTAAAATGAAATACACATTTGTACCAACTCCAACTCTCAGCCCAAGGTGTGCTAAGACAACATTCTGTCAATGAAGATGTTACTGTTTGTTGGGTTTTGTGTTGTTAGGGTGGTTTTTGTTTTAACTAATGGGACAGACAGGTTCTTTTAGAGATTCTTGGCAAAATGGCAATCGCACTAAATCATAGTTACAGCTTTATTTTCTTAACAGGATATTATGATTAGTATAGCACAGAATTTATGATGTTCTTATCATAAATTGGCACAGGATTTCAACAAGCAGAATTGATATATTACAATCTATATAAAACAAATTATAATTTTTTATCACCTAGACCCTCTGCAGATCAGGTGGGATCTTAATACATGATCTGCTCTATCAATGTAACAATCATTATCTAGATTTGAAAATCATATAAAAGACAACAAGCCACTCAATCCTTGGAGAAAGCAGATGATGGTGGAGGTGTCCCAGGCCACGAGGAGGTCACGGGTCTCACTGTCCAGCAGCAGTTTGGGTCCAAGTTCCCACTTTGGACTTGTAACTGCTTGATTTTATGAACAGTGCTCCCCATTCTGCAGTGGGGTCATCGCCATCACCTGGCTGGCTGGGTGCTATTGGCCTGGCACCCAGGAATCCTGAGGCCAGCAGGGAAGGGAAGAAATCTAATTGGTTTGTCTGCTTGGGTCACAGGACCTTCATTCAGGTAATGAGGGAAAGGGAACGAATACATGACTGAGTCACAGAGAACGGCTGCTTGCCTTGTAAAACGGTGTTAGTTATGCTAACCATGTTACCAGGAGTCAGGGGCAGCGGCTACTGCTCACATATGCCCCAGGAATAAAACAGCTACATGGGGTAAATAAAACAATTTTTAAATATATTTAAATCTTATAATTCAAGATTATTCTTCCCTTTCATTATTTGATACATTTCTCAGCTTTGAAAATGAAAATAAGAAAGACATTGCATTTCAAATTTTTGGAAAAAAGTGTCCTTGTTTTAAGTAGCTTATCACTGACCTTACCTGGTTTTAGTGAAGTATTTTATTGGCTTTTTAATTTCCAGAAATCCAGTTTAGAAAAAAAAAAAATTGCTTACCAGTTTTAAACCTGGTCTCCTACAACAGCTGTATGAAAACTACTCTAAGTTATTAAGATTTGCCTTAGAAATTTAATTAGAACACTAGTAGCCAATAATCCAACTCACATGCTAACTCAGTCAGCTCCACCCTCACCTAATTCTAACATCCTTAAATGTCTGGTCTCCAAACATGTTACCCACACCTTTAATACTACCTAGGTCCCCAAAACTCAGGCAGCCATACAGATGTGTCTCTGAGCAGATAAAACAGCATCACATAGATTGTTCTAAAAAGGTCTTGGTTTATGGATAGGTATCACATACTCCTGTAAACCTCAAAACCTATTTCCATCTTGTATGTATCTTCAATTCAATCTCCGAGTATTTTGGGATAGCTTGGTACTACAAATAACTATCTTGTATTACAGCACCCGTGCAGTAGCTCTGCACGGCACTGCCAGCTCCACAGCCAAAGCCAACTTCAGCAGAGCCAAGGGAGCAGCAGCCCATGCTGCAGGGAAAGCTTTCGTTAAGCACCATCAATGCTGCCATCTCCTGGCGTAACTGGAGATTTACAGCAACAGCTTTAAAATGCACATTTGAGCGTTTTGTGCACACTACAACTGTTAGTATAGAAGATTTTGTTCGGGAATTGTTTTTATTCTGAATGTGTTCCATTTATCCTTTTGCGTTGCAGTACTAGCTGATGATTCTCCTCCCCTGGCTGGTAAACTGAACAACCTAGGGGAAGTCTTATATGTAGTTAATCTCTATCAAAAACTTTTGGAAATAGTTAAATTAGTCTTACCCCCACTGCAAATAACACTTAACTAGTGATTCTGGAGATGCAAAAACGTAACAGCATAAACCTTAACATTTCATTTTGCTCTGGTTCATCTCTACAAACAGCAACAGCAAAAGCAAATGAGGTAAGTGGCCTCTATCATTTCAAAGGCCACAGAGTAAACCTTTTGAGCCTTGTTTGACACAATTATATAGTGGACAGTTGCCCGAACACCTCATCTGCAAACATAACTTAATCACAATTAAATCAAACCAGGCCTAAGCAACAGTTTTACTGACATTTCCCACGTATACCCAACCTCACCTCTATCTCAAATCCGTACTTCTCTGGAGAATGACTCAAACTAACCTGTTTTCCTAGCCTAGGAGCTAAGCTGGAGCACTCACCAATTCAGCTATTGCATTTCATGACAGATGGCAAATTAAGATACTCTGCCTGATCGCTTGCCATTGTGCAAACATGTCTTCCTTTCATCTGTGAAAGGCTTTAGCAGACAAACTTTTTGTCAATTGCTTCATTTTCCAAAGTACACTTTATTAAACCAACATGCAAGACCACTGACATGTGAGACTAGCAGGAGAAAGGTTAAGATAGTTTATCTGAAAATGTTTACAAAATGTCCTCATTTTGAGGGGCTTAACTGGGTTGCTCTTTATGCCAAGGATTATTTTTCTGCAATAAAACACAAACATCGACAGCAAACTTTCAAAAAAAGGAATGAAAGTAACGTTTTTTATAAATCTAGCATTCCTACGGTTAGCTTTGTGTTCACATGTTAGAACCTTACATTCTACTTCAATCAGTTTTTTTGGACAGGTAACTGCCATAGAACAGCAAGTTCATACATTTCCAGACCATGCAGTAACATATACTTGTGTGTGAATAAACTCTCACTACATGTTTGATGCTTGAAGGGATACAGCTGTGTGTACTTTACAAGAGAACCTCCCAATAATTCCAGGGAGGAGTAAATTGCCAATGCATTCTCTTAACCTGGGTAATGGAAAACAAATCAGCTCAAAGTTTGACTCTGTCCTCCCAATTGAATTTATTGAATGCACACAGCAACACAATGGAGAATATGTCCTTATAAAAAAAAAATCAATCTGAACAATTAATGTAATGAATAAACTGAAACCTTGCTGACAGATCAAAAGAAATTGATTCCAACAGGATAATAAGGTATTAACACAGAACTGTATTACCAAGACAGACTTACCAGTGCTGGCTTCATAATGAAAATATATTTTGGCCAAATTTAATATCCACTTAAGTAGGATCCAGTAGAAATGTACCTGGCGAACTAGAGTGAATCTATTTTCTCATCATGCATTCACATTAAGTATTTCAACAAAGAAACAGATTTTTTTTTTTTTAAACAAGAAACAGCTGATACATTCCATTCTTCCCTGTTTACACCAGTGGGAGTTCTACACACAAGAGATTAGCATAATATTTTTTAAATTTTTTTTTGCCATCAATGATCACATGTTTAAGCTTGAGCCTGCAATTGCTTGGTAGCATTAATTTGACTGGGAAGACTGGAAAAATGTACTAACCACCAAAGACTACAGCGTAACAATCACAACCATTAAAAACAAAATTCAACAAAAAAAGAAATGTTTGAGCAAATGACCAGCTATTTATGTAACTGTTGGAAACTCTTTCCTATCTTCAAGAAAGCAAACAGTCCATGAATGTGAAATCTAAACCCATGTACAACAGGAAAGCAGCAAGAAAAAACTAGACTGAGAAATAAAACCCAGAAAAGAGCATCTCTAAACACCAAGTGTATTTTGTGGACTTTCCTCAAGCATACACCTATACCAAACAAGAAATAAACACCCAACAAAAACTGATGAACACTGTAAAGAGAAGAGTCTTAAGCTAAAGGATCAGGAGGCTATAGAGAGTTTGAAGATAGTATGATTCATCTGAACTAAAGACAAATCGTCAGGGGTTTGGCTGCTGAGATAGGAAGGAACTTAATTCATTCCCATAAAACAAAAGGCCTTTCACACTAGCTCTCTTAATTCTTTGATTCAAAACCACAAGAATCATTCATAATGAAATAGCAACTGGAAAAACCATTAAATTTCCAGCTCAGGCAACAGGAAGTACTTTCAGAAAATGTATCTGAATTACTGTGAAAGGACAAGAAGCTGCCTTTACAAGTGAAGCACACCACCTTGCTCATGTTATAATAATAGAACTTTTGAATATAAAAAAAGCATTTAGTAGAAATTTTATTTGAAATGTAGCATGAATCCATAACCATAAGTGTTACAACATACAGTTTTACAGAGTATTTGTACATTATGACAGGTATTTCTATACATGCGCCTCCCCCCCATTTTTATTTAGTCATCATCAAACAAACAATAATTAAACAAGAATAGTAAGCATTCACTTCTAAAAAGAAAACTTTGGCATGTATACAACTGGCTAGTTAAAAGTAAACAGTGGTAGATTCAAGTCAGAAAGAGACCCTCTTGTTTTGTTTCACAGCATTTTTGATCAGAGGATGAAACTCACCAGCACTATTTTCTAGTTAATACAAAAATGAGTACTTTTTTTCAGTCCAGAAACCCCCTGTTAAGGGACAAAAACATGTTAAGACAGATGCAAAGGAACCAACTTTTAACTCTAAAAGGTGTCAGTTTTAAAGCAGTTTAGGCCACACTTATTTTGCACACATCAGTTTGGTCAGGAACAAAACAAACCCCTTAATGGTTTGCTCGTACTGCTGAACTACGTACCACTTGGCACAACCGACAATTTCTCCTTTGGACTAGAATTAGCACGAGTATTGTTGGCTCAAAAGTCATTTCCACTGCTGGAGTGCAAGAAAAAAAATAAAGTAGAATTTGCACTATGCCCATCTTCTGTCTCGAGTTTCTGTCACTGCTGTTGGCCACTTACACACCAACTAAATTAATCCAAAAAATGAGGGAAAACACTTTGCAAGGCATTTCTTTCTGGTATACAGTAGACAATATTTCCATTTTAAAAATGAGAAAGCAATGAAAGAACCCCTGAATAATAAGTAATAACAAGCCTCCTTTGAGAAGAATTACTTGCAATTCCTCAAGTACTTACAAAAAATACAATATTTATACAACTTCTCCAGAACTCTTATAGTTAACATATTTTAATGTCATACTAATAAAATAAATCCATAGATACAAATGGTTGCACTTCTAAGCAGGAATTTCTTAACTCAATTTAGATTTTGCTGCAATTTCATTATTGCTGTGGAACAGACAGTGGTTAAGTCATGTGAATACTAGCCTCTCTTTCTTACACACATCAGAATATCTAATTGGAAAAAAATGTTCTCCAGCAAGTCAGAATGCATTTACTGTAATTTTTACAGTTCCTGCTAAATGTTACTGATCCAAAGTTGGTTGAACCGTGGTGCAGTAGGGCACAAATGGCAGAAGAGCAGTGGAGTAGGCAGGAATGGCAGAAAAACAGTAGACTAACACAAGTCAGACTCATACTCACTACTTCTTATTCCTAGGCTTTAACTCTTCTGCTGCATTTCGCAGAAAAATGTAGTTTTTCTTTTGTGGATTATAAAATTCATGACCCTAAAAAGAAAAATAATCTGTATTTACTCTATTCAAAGAAGAAATGTCAGCATTACCTTAAAAATGTAAGAATATTAATATTCCATTAGTTTGGTTTATTAAGATTTAATCTTAAAAGTCTTAATTAAGATTCAAGCTTAAAAGACCAGATATTGGACAATATTGGTGGATCAGAAACAGCTTACTATAAGAAGTAATTAAAAGAACTGTGCATATAAAGTAAAATTTAAGGTATAAAAATCTTCTCACAAAAAGATAACCACCCAAATAAAGCTCTACTTTATAGAGGCAGTATTATAGCTCAATATGATTTTTTTTTTTAAATGTCATTCTAGACAGAGAAGAAACAAAAATGTTGATGGTCACCAAGTTTCACCTTAAACTTTCTGGTTTTTAAATTAAATAAAGTCACATTTTTTCAAAATGAAGCACAAGTTCTATAGGCAACTCCAAAAATATCTCTGTTCCCTTACTACAAATGCAAATATACTGCTGCTTTGCATACACATGACCAACTCATACCTAAGTATTCAAATCAGGGAGAGTAAACACTAATAAAGCTAATAAAGTCCAATGCACAACTTGAAAATTACCAACTCCACTTGGCAGAAATGGTTCTAGAAAGGAAATTTAGTACCTACTGGTTTTACTACTCAATATTGGTTTACAAATCTGAAAGATACGTCGGTACATATCTACCACTGAAGTCCACCCAAGCACTTAGAACAGAAGAATTCATCTGTCCTAGAGCCTAACCATGTTACCTTACTTTGGGCAGCATCTAGAAGACTAGGTACAATCCAGTAAATTAAAATTTTGCTCTCTTCGTGGCATGCAGTCAAGTTCACCTGTGTGATTTCTGTATTTATGTCAGTCAAAACCACAAGGAATGTTATCCTCAAATTTAGAAGCGCTAGTTATAACAGGAAAGTAATTCTTTTAACAAAAGTTGCTATTCCATTAAAAACAAGTTACATTTCAAACTTGTGATTCCCTTCTTAAACTATTAAGCAGCACTGATTCTCCACATATTATTGGTTTGTTGTGATTCTCTTGCATCGATATGATTTATTCTTAAGTTTGGAAGAGAAATACATAAATAAGTGCTGCCAGTAACCTGAACTGAAACAGTACTGGAAATTTAGTACATGGCATTCAAGCACAGGTTTAAGTGTTTATAACCAGAGTCACAACTTTTTTTTTAAAGTTAAAGAGAATCTGCACAAGAAGCAGAGACATGCATTTCAAAGAGATTTGTGGGAACCTGTCAGGATGTCACATTGCCCCATCACAGTCCCCACAGCAGAATGTGCGTGAGCAAGCAGAGTAACTTCTGAATCATGTAATTTACATTTTGCTCATCCACATCTGCAAACCAGCATTGTTTAGCAACCTTATCCCGCTGTAGCTAAAACCCAAAGAATGCACTACTTCCGTGTTAAATTTCTTCAGATGTCTAAAATGACCGTTGTTTGCATTCTTCTGAAATTCAAAAGACTCAGCTACTATTTAAAGAACAGTGAAAGCCTCATGTGAATACTCTTAGCTGTCAACTGCAAGTATGAATATGAGTCTAAACCTTTCTTACCTTTGACCAATCATAACTTGAAGCATACGCAAATATATTGCCATTATGGTTAAAACAACAAGCAGATATTGGCTGGTCAAGTTGTTCTGATGTTTTTAGCTTCGTTCGTGCATCTTTGTCCCAAAAGCTGAATCTACCATCAGATCCTACTGTTGCAAGAGTACCATGGACAGGGTGAAATGCTATGCCATTTACCTGCACAACAGTAAAAAAATACCATGTAAATCACCAACAGGAGAACACTCACAACACGTGCTGAATCCTGGCAGAGTAAATACACAGGAAAGATTTTTTCAACTAGATATAGGGTTTTTTTTAATGTTTTCAGATACATTCTCTAGAAAAAACAAAAGAAATCCCAAACAACCCCACTGAAGCGACAAGGAAAGCATCACCTTTTTCATAGTACCTAAAAATCCAGTGCATAATCCCATTATACAAATATATTAAGTATTGCTTCAACTTTTAAGGAATGGCTGATATAGCACTTGTTACAAAAATCCGTCTTTCCTCTTAATGTATACCTATGACTGGTCTTTAAACATACATCTAAGATGACATTAGGCAAGATAAAAGGTCAGGGAGAATAAAAAATTCATAGCCAATTTTACATTAAGAGTGTATATTGCCCTGTATAAATGATACATGTATACATGCTGAATACTTACAGCATAGATATCCTGAGGTGCTGATGTGTTTGTTCCATTGGAGCGATGACATTTAAAAGTGAAATTATCTTTTGCACTGAGGGGAAAAAAAGAAGTTTTTTACCTTCCTCATTGTAAACTGAGCAATAAAGAAGTGAGGTTTATCAAATGATACTTACGGATTTGGGGGGTTGATGTAATGAATAGCTACTCTTCCTTCAATACTTCCAAGGGCAAATCCAGTAGGTTTGTTCACTTTGTCTTTAAAAATAGCAACACAGCGATGCTAAATTTGATAAAGATACAAAGGATTTTAGACAGAGGCCTGAGGGCCAGATTTTCTAAACTCTGTGTTCCATGCAACACAAAACATCACATATGTCAATGCAAACTAAAGCAAAAACATAAACAAGGTCAAGAGAGAGATCAAATTCTGGTGAGGATTTGGGCCACAGTATTTACATCTCTAAATCCTTACGAAGATCAGCAATAAGTCATGTGCCATACCTATATAAAGTACTTCAGCTTTGAAACATTTGTTTTTACAAAAAAATGGCAAGGCCAAAATTTCAACGATCTTTATAAATATGCTTGTAATAAATACAATCATTTACCTGGTGCTTAAGAGGAGATTCTATTCTTCTAAATTCAGAAGGTTGATTCTCTAACTGATAAACTATCAAGCCCCTTTCTGCAGTGGCCACAGCAGCCATAGGATGAACCTGGGTAAGGTTGCAAAATAGATTGGAAGAGAGAGACTTGTGTTAATAGTATGGCAAAGAATTCTATTACTTCATAGAAATCCCTGAAGAAGTTTCAGGGGAAGGTGAGAGGGAAGGAAAGGTGGAGAAAGAACAAAGTTAATCTGTAGATATCTTCAAACAAATCAGTTCTTCCATGCCACTGGGAAATTTAAACATACCAAAAATCTCCTAATTATTAGCTGACCTTCCTATATGAATCATAGTAGTGGTAATACAAACTCATTCAGAGGGTAGGTCAGTCCTAGTGCTGACTTGTTTTTGTGATGTTAAAAGGATACTAAACATGTTTTGTATGATACTTACAGGTATTTGCAAATACCTCTTTTCCAGAGCCTGCTCAGGATCAATTTATGTTTTACTGCTAAAACTGCACAGATTGAATATTATTCTATGATTCTATACTAGAAGTCAGTATTTAGTGCTACAGAAGCCTCAAAGACCACCAGTTTTGTTCATACTCCCAGTCATCTACGTGACACTAGTTTACCATATATTACAGCTTACCACATCAGCACAGTAGCATCTTTCAGGGAGCTGCAGTGTCATCATAGGTGTTGGTGAACGGGTATCCCAGAACTGATGGGAACAGAAAAATGAACAAATTTATGCTTGGAACTGAGGATACACCGTGTAAATCACTTTAGTAAAGAGAATACAATTGCTACCAAGTTGTTTCCTTCTTGTCTATAGTCAGAATACTGCAACTCTCTGTTAAGTGAGGCTATTTCATTGATCTGTTTTTTACATTAGTGTTTAATAAAATATTTTCACTTCATAAATACTTTCACACACAGATTATCATCATGCTTTGTCTCCATTTGTTCAGGTAAAAATCATACCTTCAGAGTTTTATCCCAGCTTCCTGTCATCACACAGCTATAATTTGGTGCTTTAATCCAATGGATAGTCTTCACAGGAGCATCATGCTGAAGAAAAAAAAGGACAAACGCATATACATTTACTAAGATAACAGCTCACATTTGTTGTTTATGCTCCTCACTTTTTGTACGTATTTACACTATTTATCCATTCAAGAAAAGTTATTATTTTAGTCACAACAGTTAGGATAAGGGTTGGTTATGACCTTACTGCGTTGTTTAGTGCTGTAAAATCACTCACATTAGAAAAAAATGGTTCCTGACACAAAGAACTACAATCAAGTCACCATATATAAGATGGTCACAGCAGAAATAAAAATTATGAACAGCAGGACTTCTTATTTATTTATAAAGGTTACTATCCATCATGCTGAAAATCAACACCTTGTAATAAATAATTTATTATATTAAACTAATAAAAACCCAGCTTCCAACCACAGCTACAGAAGAAAGACCTATGTTAATTATACCAACAAGATTTTAAAGTTCAGATTCTCAGCCTTGATTTTATTACCTTAAGTAAGATAGAAGCAGCAACCATTAAAAGGACTCTCAACTTATGTAACTGGTAACTCATTTTAGTCACCACAACTATGAACAGATATTCACTTCTAAATTGAGAATGTAAATTATAATCCCTGTTACTGCTGCGGCAGAAAGCTGGTATTTATGAATGTGAATTCCCCCCCCCGCTTAATGCAGCGGAGTGACTGCCCTGGTTTCAACTGGGATAGAGCTAAATTTTTTTCTTCTAGTAGCTAGAATAGTGCTGTGTTTTGGACTCAGTATATGATTTGGTATGAGAATAATACTGATAACGTACTGATGGTTTTAGTTGTTGTTAAGAAATCAAGGACTTTACAATTTCCCATGCCCTGCTAGTGCACAGGTACACAAGAAGCTAGGAGGGAGCAGAGCCATAGCAACAGACCCGAACTGGCCAATAGAATAATATACATCGTACACCATCATGCTCAGAATACAGAAGAGGGCTGATTGGAAAGCTCACTCTTCCAGGACTGTGGTTTGAGGATCTCTAGCTGGGAGCAGGTTGGGCATCACACCGTGCATTATTTGTTTGCATTTTCTGTTACTACTTTTATTATCATTTGGAGGGGCTTTTGAAGTTTTATTTCAAATATTAAATTGTTTTTTTCTCAACCTATGAGTCTCCTTACCTTTACCCCTCCCACTGTATCCCCCAGGGCAGGGGAGGGTGAGTGGCTGCATGGTGCTTGGCTGCCAGATGGGTTTAAACCATGACAGTGACTTAAGACCACTACAGCAATGGAAAGAGCTTTCTCACAAATAGAGACAACAGCTTCACAGGTTATTCAAATCACTTTGATTGCAGGTCTCTCTACTCATGTGCACCTCATTATCTCAAAAATACAACAATCTCTTCTTCTTATAGCAATATCTACTTCAGAAGCACTAAACATTAGTTTAATTTGCTAATAAATGTAGCTTTTAATAAAAACAGAAAAGGAAAAAAAAAACACCTAACAGCTTAGGGCTTGCTTACTTACTTGTGCAATCTGAATAGCTTGATTACTGTTGAGATCCCACATTTTGGCAGTTTTATCACAGGAAGCAGTAAATACTTTACTCCCATCCTAAAAAAAAACCAGAGTAAGGCCAAGAGATTAAACAGCTCTATCATGCAGTAGCTATTAGAAAACTGCCAAGTCTTATTCTCTTTTAGTAAAAGCTTAACAATATAACACATACAAGAATTGCAAGACAAAAAAAGAAACATAAACACGGAAATTTATTTACAACTGTATGTGATAAAAGAGAAAAGTCTGTGAGCTATTATCTACCTTTAGGTACATTCTTACTTTTAAACTCACTTTTACCTTTCTAACGCCCCCAGTTAGTTAGTCTATTCTATTAGAATGTGCTTAGCACAAATTTACGGTAACATAAGTCTATACAATAATTATGAGCTTCATCTACATGTGACATTTGTTTCTGTCTGGAAAACACATGCAAATTTATTTAGGGTTTTGGTAAAAATTGTTTCTTTCTTTTTAAATAGGAACATACATCACTCCAACAGCCGTCTAGTACAGGCCCTGTGTGCATCTGCTGAGCCTTCGGAATTGTCTGTCCATTATCCTGAACTTCCCAACAGCGAACCTGAAACAGGAGAAGCACAGACAGACATAACATATTAACACTAAGAACTTGAAAGACCTAATCTTGAGGTTCCCAGCCTTAGTTTATCCAGTGAAAAGTATGATTATAAACAACAAGCTTTTTTCAGAACTGATTATATTCCTTTTATCTGTACAGCCACAATTCAACCTCACCTCAAAAGTACCCTACACCATGTAAGACCTCACAGTGCTCTCCTGGAGAACCCTTAACCATCAGCCAGGAAGAAGCTGCCTGCTGCAGGCTACTAGCCAACAGACCAGAGTAGTTAAAAAACACACTCACGCTTGTCTTCCCCTCTTGTTTGTGCCAGTTGGGATAGCACTCTTCAATCCAAACAAACTTCAATAAGCCTGTAGGAATTTCAATCTTTTTTTTAGACTACACTGTGAAACTGGATGATTTACCATGATGTTCATGTTTCTTTCACGGGGCAAAGTATAATTACATTAGGCTAATTGTATAAGAAAATGAAACTAAAACCCAAACAAGTAGGAGAAAGAAAAATCAAATAAAAATCTAACAGTGAAAATACTGACTACATACTCCAAGCTGAAGCTTGAAACACACAGGTGAAGGAACCACTTATCTGAAGATCACAACTGAATTTCTCAGTCAAAGAAGCTCAATGTCAAGCTTGGTGCCTTAGCACCAGACACAAATTCAGCAGTTCTGCTCTGGCACAAATTTTTAGGATCACATTTTGAAGTGTAGGCACAAATGCTCCCACTTTATTCATCTGTAGGTCTGATTGTGAGTACTTACATCATTTGCCCATGATCCTGCAATGAGGAAATTACCCGGCAAGGTTGGCGGACTAAATGCTAAACAAGATATGCTGTCATCAGGTGGAGATGTTACTTCAATATCCTATAAAGAATACAAAGCAAAATTAGCCACATTGGAAAACTGTGCACTGAGATACTATTCTTCTATAGAGTGAGTCAGTCGGTACTGCTGTGACACATGAAAACACAGCAGCAGAACAGTGGCTCCCACAGGGGCTAACACACGTACCTTCATGGGATTGTGGTTATCTGCAGTCGTACTGCCAAACATGCTGGTACCTCCAGTACCAAACCCTGACGTTGATCCAAACAGACTCATCCTTGCCCTGCAAACAAGGAAAAGGCTCAGTGCGACCTGCAAGTCCCTCAAGTATCCATCCCTGCGGTGTCTCAACCACAGCCACTACACCAGCACACCCCTCACCTGCCCGGGAGACACCCAGGGATACAAAAAATACATGGAATTTTAAAAATTTTAAAAATCAGCCGTCACATTGCAACTGGATCCCTGAAATCTGCCAGTCGACCACTCTGCCACCGCTGTCAGGGATCCCTCTCCAATCGCCACCTGGCGAGAGCTAACCCCCCCCTCCGGCCCCACCGGGCTGCGGGCTGTCTCTTATACAC